AGGAATGGGTTAGGAAAGAGCTCTGTATCAGGAAAAATTTATAGCTATAGGAGAACAGAAACGAGCACTTCAGTTCGTTACAAGACATTTGCATATTTGCAGTATTCATAAGACCAGAACACACATTAGTTACGCTGGGGTGACACTACTTAATCAATACACAAAGCCAACATTAAAAGTGAACCAAAAGGTGCTTATTGCAACAGAACAAAACACTAGCATTGCTGCCGGTACAAACAAAATCAACTGGAAAAGAACATGATCAATAATGTTACTAACACTTTTACAACTGGCTAATATTTCTTCTGAACAGCTGAATTTTGTAGTAATTTGAATCCTATGTTAGATCAAAACTTTAAAGAGTGAAGAATGTCAGAACTGTGAAGAGTTAATCAACAATTTTTTTACTTCATTAAAAACTGAATGCACTCCAGATTCTTCCCTACCTCTGTCCCTTTTTTACTGCAGGTTCCCCAAAATTTATGGTGAAGTATTCCCTGACTGAGAATGAATAAGCAACTCTCTACCAGCAATGGAAGTGCACAATTGCTCTGTGCATCAAAGCAAGCGGTTACTGCTTTTAGAAGAGTTTTTCAGTCCTAACCTCAATAAACTGGCCCAAAACCATTAAATAGAAGTGATAAAAACATTTCCTATACTACAAGTTCCTATACAACAAGTTAAACACTCAATATTCAAAGACTCAACAGTTTCATCAGGGTTTAGCTGCTGCACCGAAACATAGCTATTAACAGCGCACTGACCGTTTTAAGTTCCTCAAAAACAGACAGAATTTTGCATTCTTAATTTTGAAGGGCCAACTGTAAAGGAATTAGTGGCTGTGAATCTGTTTGCTGGACGGATCAATATGCCCTTGTATCTTGAGTACTTTGAAGACTACAAATCAAGGTATAGAACATTCTTAGCTCCCTCACCTATCTTAATTAAGATGGCAGTTCCTGATATTTACCTTTTTCTCCCCCTATTAAATATTAATTAAAGTATTTACGGTATGAGGAATTACAACTCTCATGTGGTTTTTGATTGTAGGGTTCCTGCAATAAAAAAAGTTCCAAATGCCAGCAAGT